CCTTTTTTCTGGTTAAATGTAAATTTCCCAAAAGTCATCTTCTTAACTGGATTACCATCATCTTTTCTATAGGTGTGGACCAACCATCTAATTCTATAGCGTTTATTAACTTAAATTATGTAAGGTTGCTTAAATTTTCCCCACAATTCATAATGGTACTGAATCCGCCAAACACTGTTTTATTTAACAGCTCCGAAGATGGTTCTGAGTATTTTTCTTTCAAATATTAGTATTTTTTTTCCTCAGTCTTATGTAAAGGTCCGCATTTGCTGTCATGAAGCAATACTGGTTTAATTAGAGCATTGTATAAATTAATTTTATTTTTAATGGAAATGGGTTTTGATTTCAGTTGGTTTTTAAATCCAAAACAACACCTATTAGTCATCGTTATCCTGTAATTTATTTGTTTTGATTTCATTATTAGCTGTAACAATCGTCTCTGGTTATGTGAACTGATATGACATTTGAACTTGAATATATAATAATTAGTCACGAGTGGTAAAACCTCAAAATTTTTATTACTGACTGCCATAAATTTGGCCCATATTGATTAATAGGTAAACTCAATATTTTAGCATAAGCCTTAAATCTGATAAAAGCCTCTGAGACAGCCTATTTGGTACGTCCTATTAAATCAATATCAAATGCATAAGCCAGTATTTGAACAGTCTTTTGGATAGTTGCACCCTTAGCATTTATATTACCATCTCTAATTGCTTTTTCCAATGCAATGTTAAATAGCATGTAGTAGAGGGTGCCTCCTTTTCTTACACCTCTCTGCGTGCAAAAATAGTTTGATAGTTTAGACATAAATTTTATTCTGCATTTGACATTTTTAATGGTAATTTTTACAAGATTAACTAGTTTATAAGAGATCCTAAACTCAATCATATCATCGAAAAGCTTCTCTCTATGATAGAGTCGTAAGCTGCTGTAAAATCGATTAAAAATGGCATTTATCAATATTACATACTTTTGTTTTCTCATAATTTGTCTGAAAGCTTAATCGAAAAGCTTCTCTCTATGATAGAGTCGTAAGCTGCTGTAAAATCGATTAAAAATGGCATTTATCAATATTACATACTTTTGTTTTCTCATAATTTGTCTGAGAGAGTTAATCTGGTCAGTGGTAGATTTTTCCTTTGAGAATCTACATTGATACCTTCCAATAATATTTGAAGTATAAGGAGCAAGTCTGTCATGCAATAGTTTGGAGAAGATTTCAAATGCCTTTTTTTCTAAAGTGTAACCCAGTGTCGTGACATTCCAGTGTGTCTCATTTTTTAAAAAAATAGAGCAAAGGTTACCATCTTTCCAGTCAATGGGAATTTGTTTATTCACCCAAATAATCCAAATAATTTTGTGTAGTACTACATCCAGTATAGGTTCATTAATATTAATTAATCCGTATTTAATATCCTATGCTTCAACAAATCGGTTAAGATTTATATGTTTCATTATAAGTTCCACTTCACGTAAACTTATAACCACGTTAAGTTCCAATTCACGTTAACTACTCTTTAGTTTGTTCAGATAAATATTCAGAATCCAAAGAATCTATAGTAAGACTGACGCTTCTGGAGGGTATTTCCATGAAATGCTCTCTCCACTTATCGGAAGTTTTAAAACTAATCAGTTCACCATTGTTTCTCTTGTATGACATTGTTTAGGATGGAAATTCTTTCCAAATATTGTTAATATGCACATAAATAATACTAATCGCACATACAATATCACACATACGCATGCACACATACGACACTAATCTTTAAAAATTAGCCCTTTAAGCGCAATTTGCAAACGCTTTCATTTATAGGCACAAAGTCATTGATTGACGTTTTCTAGCAACAGAGCCAGTTCCAAACTGATGCTTTTCCTTATGGCAACTGTAGTTGATTTGTAAATTAATTAAAAAATTTTTACACACAATTGAAAAAATCGCTAACCTAAAGATAATTCTTTGTAAGAAATAACTGTAAGTAAATATTTATTATTTATTTAATAAAAGTCGAAAAAATGTGATTTGTAAAGTAAAATTTTTTTTTTGCATAATATTAAAAAATGTACTTTTACATAATAAAATGCAAAGTTTGATCAAAATCGGTTCAATAGCTCCTGAGATATTAACTTTTAAAAAGCCAGATACTTAAAATTTGATTTCTAAGGAAGTACTCAAACGATTTTGCAAAGATTTTGTATTTTATAATATAAATTTATGTTCTTTTAAATGAAGCAAAAAATGCTATACCTTACAATTCAAACTCATTTTGACATTATTAAAAAAAATAGTAAATATTTTCTAAAAGTTATTTCTCGCATGGAATAATCTTTGGATAAACAAATTTTCATAAAAATTATTCTATTCGCTGTAGAAGTTAACGAGATATAGTGAAATACGAGTAAAATAAATTTAACATAAAGGGTCCAAGCCTTGAAGCGAACTTTGAGAAAACTATTGGGAGCATATTTCTTCAGATAGCTGCTACCCCCCCCCCATATTTCGGGGGTCAGAAAGTCAAATACATAAGAAAATGTATGCTTATTCATAGAAAATTCGATTTTGTGTCTGATTAATTAGCATATTTTAGGTTAACGCCTGGAGACATTAAGATTGAGTCCTAGAATGTGAAGATCCAATCATTAGATCGAAAGTGTTTCAGGGTGGTTCGTTTTTTTTTTCTTCTTCTTTTTCTGCTCTTTGTACTTTCCAAGTTCCAATTCTCAAGTTCGCAGTTTTTCAAATTCATCTGTGTGAAGTCCGTCCTGATAAAACTCTTTGAGGTTTCTGAACTGGGATTTTTTTTACAAGATAGATTAGTCAACCCTTTTGCTTATCTCCCAACCTAGAGGACCAGAGTGTTCCTCTTAGTCTGGTGTTTTCCCTTCAACTTGTCCAGCTGGGCAAATCTGCTAGAATTTGTTGCTCTCGGGACAGATCATGCACACTAACCACAGCAGCACGATAAAGAGGATCATTGTGGTACAACAACACCATCATTGTAGAGACAAATAAAATAAATCACATAAATCAGCATGTTGTTCAATTTAACCCATCAGTTAAATCTTTGATTTGAGTGTAACACGCCTGAGAAGTAGCGTTGTCACTTTTTAGCATGAGTTTATTTTGTTTAAGCAACTGAATTGTTTAATAGCAATAAAACAGATAACAGAATAGAATTGTATTTATTGATTATATATATATATATATTAAATAATCAGATAAAATGTTTGTTATTTTATTTTGCATGCATTTATCAATTTAAGATGAAAATTCTATTTGTGTAAAAGAGTGTAAAAATGAAACTAAAGACATTTGAAAAGGTAAAAAAGAGAAACAATTTTATTCTACATACAACAAATTGACATTCAAAGTTTTGTTTTACAAAAAAGGTGAGTTGTTTTTGAAAAATAAATATTAAACGATAAAACACTAGCACAAAAAAAATCACATGGTACTTTGCAATTTTAGTAAATTGAAGAGGTTGAACTACATTAATAGTTTAAAATGTCTAAAGGATTTTAAAATAATAGTTTTAGTTTGTAAAACATGCGCGATACACTGATTGAAATTTTAATTAAACTCAACTCGTGAGCCAATTGATAGAACTTTTAAATTTTCTACTGCTGATGAAAGAGTCTTAGAAAAAGAGGAATAAAATTTACATATAAATTGAAAGTATTTCGTTAAACAGTAAAATCACGAAATCATCAATTTAAATGACTTCTTTGACGTATTTGCTTTTACTGAGCGTTTTAAATTAGCATACCAGATAATTTTTCAAGACATCTTTTTCCAAATCTTCTTATTCAAAAAAGATTTCTTTGAAATTAAAAAAAAAAGTGGAAGGCTAAATTGAAGTGGGTTTTTAAATTAAACACGCTGTTGGGTGAAAAAATCTTTTAGAAAAAGAGTATTTCTCCTAAAATTCATTTTGAAATACGTAAAAACAAAATAGTAGTTTTATGAGCAATTAAATTTGTAAGCGAGAAAATCATTGATTTTTAGAAATTATCTTGACAGTTGAGATAAATTTATCTTTAATGATCTCAGTTGGATTTATTTAAAAATAAAACTTTAAATCAAGATTAGGTTACGTAAATATAGAAGTATAATCGTTTTTACTTTAAATTAAAGTGAATATATATTTGATCTTTATAGTTTAAGTAATAAATAGTAATGTTAGATGCATTCTAAATAATGTCAAAATTCACCCATATGTTTTAATAAAAAATAAACCAAAAAATTCTGTTGTGATTTTAAAAAAATTAGCAAAAAAAATATTGATAATTATTTTTTTACATAAGTAATTTTACAGTTATATATTCGAAATGAATTTAATTTGATTGAAACTAATTCTTAATTGAAATTACATGTTTATTTAGAATTATTTCATACGAGGTTTAATTTAATTTGTTTAGTCAAATTTATTACAAATAGGCTTCATTATAATGAATATTTTAATTATTTTTAGTTAATATTTTAGAGAAATTTTAGTTTTTTAATTTTATTCACAATTATCACTTCAAAGCGTTATTGAATCACATTATTTAACATAATTGATTTTTAGAATCATACTAAATTGTTATAAAATACTTTCTATTCTTCATTCATAGATCTTGTTTTACTGAAATAGAATTTACATCTATTACAGAAAACAGTAGCTTAACGTTGACTCAAAACAAAAAGTAGCTTTTATTCAAGTTACAAACTTTGAATTCCTTTAAAAAGATTTAGTTAATATCATTAACGGAACTAATAAATCATAATTTATTAGAAGTTAGGTAATATTAACTCCTTTTTTTAATGAACGCAATAAATTTTGCTACTCAAATGCCAAAATAAGGCAAGGAATAATACTACTTTAGAATAGATCTTCATAAAGAGCATTTTTAAAATAACAAGTATGCCAAACTATTTAGATAATGTAATTTTATTTTGATTGCCCGCAGTCAATGTAAGATAAATTATTAAGAAAAAAATAAATGATGTTTCGCGAATGAAATTTTACAACATATGACGCAGTCATGAAAATCTCTAGGCAGATTCCTTCAGTAGTTTGGCTTTTAAATGTTCTTAGTTTCCTAATGCTGTAGCCAAAAGTCGCGCTAATTGGGAACTAGATTGAGTGCCTTTTGGTGTGGAGCCTTTAGGTGGCAAAAGTGCTTGGCATTGGTTGCTGTTAGGGTCAAAAGAGTTGCAAACGACGCCTGGAAGTTCAGTAACAGCCAACTGAGAAACGGTCCTGCCCATCTCCACAGCTTCTCGGCCACACTTTTGTTCTGTGAGTTTTTCGCCGCATTCCAAGAATCGTCTGAATCCACTGTAAACAAATAAAACAATATTAATATCAAAATGTTATTTCTAATCAATATTACCATTTTTTTAAAAATGTAATCGATTTTCCGATTAAATTTAGCAGTTTATTGACATTAATAAGTAAAGTAAACGCATTCATAAATTAATAAAAAAAGGTTTACATGCTTCTGGGTCGTTTTACTATTAGAAATTTTTTAGGGTGTTGAAATATAAAGTTAATTTTCAAATTCAAATGCAAGAAATTTTGTTCAAATTTGTTTCATTGTTAATTGCATTAAATTAATATTAAGCGTTATGAGAAATAACATACAGCTGTTTCAAAACAATGAACTATCAATACAAATTATATATTGCTTGATTTTGAGCTTTTTTTTCAAGTTAAAAATGAAAAGTTATGAAAGTTGATTAAACAAGCTAAAACAAGTTGAAAGAAATATTAAGACTATTCTATTAAGCGCATGTAACCAAAATGCGTATTTAGTACTTCCAAGAACATTTTTAGAACAATATTCATCCTTCGTTGAGTTGCAGAGTATTGAATATAAACTTACGAGTATATTTAACATAACGACAAATTTTGGGGTCTTTTTGTGTTAAAGAAAATAAATTATACCATAAGAATCTAATTTAATGCATACAATTTTGGAAAATTGTAATTTTATCCGGCCTGGTTAATGAGGAAAAACAGTTAAACGCATGTCCGCTAAAAAAAAAATTGTCCTCACGTTTTTTTCACCTAAGTTCGAAGTTATTGGATTAAGATTCTTAGAATAATTTGATAAGTTTTTTGAGCAATTGGTATATGACTTACCAACAAAGAGTGCCGACTCGTTTGTCGAATTTAGTTGTTGTAACAGTTTCGACAGTGACCTGCATGTCAACCATGCAATCTCTCATTTGGTCTTCAGCATGGACTTCTCCTAAGCATCTGGAGTGTCTAAGGTATTCTGAAAATAATAAAAAACAAATTTTATTCTTATTATTTTTTAAAATTTAAGTTAAAGCCACTACCTTCTTAAATTTTAGTTATTGAATAAAATTGTACTCATGTTTAAAAGAATACAATTAATCACTATTTTGGTCGCATTATTTTTTACTCACAGAAATTTGAGAAATAAATCAATATAAGTATTTAAAAAAAATCGATTTACAAAAAAAAGGTTTAGTTTCTTAAATGAATGAAAATAATATTATAAATTTGTCAAATGAATAAAAATGTCTTCTTCCATTTTTCCGAATGTGTAAGAAACTAAGAAAAAAAACTAAGAATATATATAAAAAAAAACTAACTAAGAACTAAAAAAAAACTAAGAATATATCTTACTGGCTCTCAATTCGGATCCTTGTGTGCAAAAATCCTTAACTGTAGCTTCAGAACCCTCAGCAACCAAGTTAAGTACTTCTCTTTGGACAGGTGTCATGCATTTATTTGTGAAATTTCGAAGACATTGTGAAGTTTCGTCAATAGATCTGTATTAGTTTATGTAAAAAAGAAACATAAAATAAAAATGCATAAATTTATATCAAAGTAAAATATACATAACTGGAAATAACCAAAAAATCTTTAATTCATTTTAATTGAATGTCTAGCAGAGATCGAACACAGTTTTGATGCATTGTTTTGATGCTTATTGTGAATTTTTAAGTTAAACCTACATGAAGTAAGTCATGCACATTCTAAGTGTGGGAGAAATTAAATGGCTATTGTGGCTAAATGAGATTTTAGATTTTCATGGAATTTTTTTCCCCTTTTATTTGAATTAAAATTGTTGCGCATTTTTTTAAATATATAATTATGGGTTGCTAAAATTTTTGAAGTAATATTTCTTATTAATTAGTTTATAGTAACGATAACGATACACTGAGATAAGTTGTTGCTGTTGTTGTAGTACATTTACGTCGTGCTAGAGCTGCACAATGGGCTATTGGTGACGGTCTGGGAAACATCCCTGAGGATGATCCGAAGACATGCCATCACAATTTTTATAATTTGCAGCAATTTGATGGCACCCCACTTCAGTATCCCGACGACCTACATGCGAAGTCGAGCACTTTACGATTACAATTTAACGAGGACCAATACCGCACACCCTCAATCCCTAAGCAGACTGATCCAGGTGGTCACCCACCAGCAAACTGACTTCGGTGATCTGCTGGGAACCGTGTCTTAACGATCAGTCCACTGCGGGACTCACTGAGGTAAGAGGTATGGTCGAAACTACCAGAATATGTTTAAATTTACAGTGGTTGTAGGACCAACATGGGAACAACGTAACTCTATTCATCTATGGGAACAACAAAAATCTTGGTAATTTTTACCGACGTGCTCTTTTGAAGAATTTTTTAAAAATTAACATATATAATGTGATAAACATAACAATTAGATGAAATTTAGTAAACGTGTTAAAATTTGATAATTTTATCATGATGCCTTAGCGTGGCGTAAAAATCCATTTGATTGGTTAAATTTACTTTTCAGTTTTGTATTTTTTACTAAATGTATGATAATAAGAATTATAATTTTGAAAAACATAATTTCTTCTGAACCATTACTATATGAACAGAAAAATTACCAAATGAATGGCTTGAATACCTTATATTTTGGTTTGATTAAATAGAATATTAGTTTGTTTCACTGGAAATTACATTAACATACGGCATTGTAATTTCAGCTGTTGTTTTGTGTTTGATTAACTTCTTCCAACTAAGTCCACAAATTTCATGACTCAAAATAAGTTGCAGTCATTTTCAAGCAAATGATCAATTTCTATACCTTAGACTCAGTTTAGATCACAATTTATAAATCTATCAAAATTAAAGTTTAACGCTGTTTCGCTTATTCTTGCTCTTATGATATTGACTTTGTATCTTTAAATAGTTTTCTTTGTATGAACTTATTTTCTTACTCGCAAAGCTGAGATACTCCACTCTCATCAGTTGGTATTCCACTACCTTGATAGTGGAAAATCATAGTAGCGATACACAGGTCCACTTCTCGAAGATGGCATGATTGTGAAGCAATCTGATAAGCTGTGGAAACAATGGTTTAAAATTAGCAAACTTAATATTTTATCATAAACAATAAAATGGGTAATTTTAAATACTCAACTTAAATGATTCTTAACAGCGTTTAAAATGAATGTTTTTTTCAACAGCAACAAGATATAATGTTTACATCATATCGTTAATAATCAATACTTATTAGCATGTTTCAGCATAAGAAAAAATTCCTCTGCAAAGCAAGTTAACTTCTCAATTTTTGTCTCATACAGTATTGATGGATAAAACTGTATTTACAATAAGGGCGTAAATCATGCGCTGGTAATTTAATATTTTGTGTTCCTGAGCAGCCAGTGCTTATGTTGCTATTGCACGCGCTTCTAATGAGATGGCGGCTATTTTAAAATTGGAAACGATTTAAGATTTCTTTGAAACAGATTTTCAGGATATCTCTGGTACAGTTCTTCAAGCATATTAAACATAATGTAAAGAAAAATGCATTATTAAGAAATCGTGAATCGTTTACAATTTTTTAACAGCAGCAATCACCATAGTAACGCGTGTAATGGCAACATGCTCGCCATTCACGCGTTACTATGGCGACTGCTTCTTTTTGCTATGGATCATGTTGTGTTTCATTTTTTTCTTGTATTGTTACACACAGGTATCATTATTTTGAAATACTTCCTAATGGTGATGTTTTATTTAATGTTTATACATAAGTTAGCTTCTCGAATAGGTCTTTAGTTTTTATAATTTTCAAAAACTGTATTTACTGTACTTTCAAAGTCATTAATTTTAATGTCATACAAATTTAAATTTGAACAACTTTGAATCAAATATATTTATTGAGAACAAGTTATTTTTATGCGTACAATGCAATAAATTCAGAATCAAAGTAAGGAAAATAGTACCGGCACCCCGTTTGGTCGTATTTACAGCGTTTCAGTTTTTTTCCTTCTAAACTTGATGCCTTTTTTTTCTAATAAAAAGAAATCATCTCTAAACTTGAAATCTTTGAAACTGATTTGGTCAACTTTAAATGCTAAGTGATAAAAAATATTTCTTCGCAGCAGTGGGGGAGGTGGTGACATTTAAGTCAATTTTGTTCAGAAATTTAAAGTAACACAATTTGCACATGGACTATATATGCAATTTTAAAATTACATCTCTCTAAATATTAATAAAATCCGTGGAGTCCTAACTGAATTATGCATGTTATAAAAGATGTAATTCATGAAAAAGAATCAAGTGAAAAAAATGGTTTAAGAAAATTATTTTCTTATTTATAAAGTATTCACGAGAAAATACTTTCATATTTAAGAAAAACAGAGAATGCATTAATCAAACATTTTTTTTTACTTCATCATTACAAGAAAAACCTTTTAAAATAATTGCTAGAAGCATATACTTTTTAATGTTCAAACTGACTTTCTCCAACGGTAAAGTTCAATAGCATTCTTAAAATTCAACGTTCTTAATATTCTTAGCATTCTCAAAAGAGTTAACAAACAAAAATTGAACTTAAAACGTCTATTTAGTTGAGATTAGATAAACAAAGTATTTAATAAAAAACCAGAAATTCCTTAAGTTAGTTCAGTTCAAAGTACCCTATTCTTTTACAGGTTTTACTGCATAGTTTTATTTTCTCTTTCATAAAAATGAAAAGAGATTTTCTAGGTTTGTAATATCGAGGCTATTGGCTTTTCCTTTCTGAGCCAGTTCAACGAGTTCCTTTCCCAACTTGATCTATTTTGAGATAGAATGATACAAAAAAGAAAGTAAATTGGTGCAGACAAGCACATGGTAGGGAATGATGAAACTCGAAATTAAATTTGGAGAGGAAATTCACCCTGTAATTGCCACCACAATTAGAATCTATAATGAAGAATATTTCATGTGATCTCTGACCCAGTAATCTGGGGCAAAAACTTTCCCTTGCCTTTGGCTCAGGACGTTGCCTTCGTTTAAAGATTCAATTAATGTTTTCATATGAATTTGGGGTAATAATTAATAAACAAAGCAGTCAAAGCTACAATAATTATAAAAGAGATAATCTTGATTATTGTATGTTGATGAATGTTCGTAATAAGTAGTAATGACATTTTATTAAAGGATAAAATACACTCATCGGACAGATATGTTCTCCTGTAAACCAATGTAAGAAAAATTCAGAGGGTTTTTTATTTGAGTAACTGTGACATGAAAAAATAGTCAGGTTTTATTTCTTTCAATCATTTATTTAATTAATTACTTATTTTCCAAGTTCTTCTTTAGTGTCAAAAAAATTTTTCGTATTTTTAAACAGTAATACTCTTGAAATATAGAAGGAATTCGGAGGAAAACGGCATATAAAAACACTGATTTTATAAAACTAAATTTTGATAACGTTGTTAAATTTTGTTACGTTTTTTTTTCTTTTTCTTTCAGTGATGAGCATAAAACCTCTGTTTTTCGACTCGTGTAGTATCAATAGTTGCAATTACTCCGGATAATAATAGTGACAATGAGCTGAATAATAAATAGCAGTGATGAATAAAGTAGTAATCCCTTTAAATGCCGACAAATTTGAAAAAAATATTAATTTAAAATTTGAAAAAGAAAATTTATTTGAAAAAGGAAACTTATTTAAAACTTAAAACTTATTTAAAACTTAATAATTAAACTTATTAAAACTTAATTTGAAAAAGAAAACTTATATCAAAATTTTACACATCTAAATATTTAAACTACAAATGCATTTTTAAAAAATTGATAAGCGTTGAATAATTGTTTTCTAATATGCAGGGTAAATGAGGATTGCTTGATAATTTTTGACACGCAATATGACGATGAGTTACTTATTCACTTGAGGATGGGTTACTCGCGCATGTGAAATCGATACATGATGATGTATTGCTGTCCAAGTAAAAATACATCTTATATTTGTCTGCCTAAAATTATTAAATATACTCTCATATGCTTAAGCAACACGTTTTAAACAAAGCTACATAATTATTAGTTTAAGCAACATAATTAACGCAGGCTGAAAATTTTTATTTTTTATATTCTGATAACACTAATCAACTGACAATGGCTTTCTTTTAATGTGTTTATAGTTTGCAGAAGATTTAAGAGAGCTGCTTATAGATAGAGAAATATTTTAATATCATATACGTATTTTTTTAAGAAAAATTAAAAACGTTATGCTATTAATAAAAGCTTTATTATTTTCCATTTGAAATTATTTGAATAATTATTTAGAAAACTTTGTTATCACCAAAAGAAAGAAGAAAAGTTCTATTTTTTTGTTATTTATACCAAATATATAATGTTGTTCAAATAAAATTCGGATTGTTCGGATTGTTGACACAGCATATACGAGTAATACAATTCAAGTGTTTTTTTCTTAACTTTTAAAGCGGAAAAGCTAACATTTTTAATTAAAAAACAATTAAAAATATTTTTTTTAAATACTTTTTTGAAATAAAAAATTTACGTTTCACTTGATCGCCATCGAAATAAATTATTCAACAATAGCAATAACCGTTCTAAGTTATAAATGTTGCTAATTATTAAAAATTTAAAACCAATAAATTATTCACACCCATGTATTTTTCTTTTCTTTTGGTTGGCATATGATTTATTAAATGTTATGCCTTATACAGAATAAACATTTTAATTAGTGACAAAAAAATCAATTTAACTAAACAAAATTAGCGTGCAATTTAAAAGCTATAGCATCTTCGTGAAATCATCTATAACTTATTCAATTAAGTCAAGTAAGATATGAAAAATTTAAGCGCACAAAAATAAATGAAAAAAGAAATGCTTAGAGAGAATAACTAATCCACCAAAAAGTTATTCTAAGTCTTAAATTTAAGGACTTTTATAGTGTTTGGACTTTTCCTTCTACTAAGAATTTTTAATTTCATTTGTTGCAATGATGCTATACATTGTATTTATTTATTTTTAATCGAAATGCTTATTTTCCTCTGAATTTCAATGCATGATTTTATCATGCCGTTCTTTATAAGCAAATAATACTGAAATAAAGATAATTATTATTTTTTTATTAAAGATACATAAATTATTGTATCTTAGGACACTTTAAAAGAGGGTTTTTCCAAATAGATCAAAAATGTGTCAACAAATTATAGTCCGAAACAAATAATAGTCGACTTAGAAAACTCCATAAATTGAAACAGAACATATTCATTTTTGAGCAACATGCAGTCCCACTAGGGATGAGGGTAGAGAAATGTTTGCTGCTCCCGGAAGGATTTGAACAAAGAAACTTCCCTGTATTCGTTGTAGAATGTTTTAACCACCATAGTGGTACCACGGGGAGTTAGTAACATTTACATAGTGGTCGTCGCAATAACGCATCATGGCATACCAAATTCTAATTTCATTGGTACAAAGGCTTGCAATTCGGAAAATATGTTCTCATTAACTTAGTTAGTGTATCGTTAATTTTTATTTAACTTTCTGATCGTATCAATTTTCAGCGAATGAAATATATGTTATGATTTGTCACTCTATAAAACTTTCTAACTCACCTTGTATTTGGATGTATAACCATGTCAATTATTCAACTACGAAACCACAGCATTCAACAAATGTCTCTCTCACACATTCCTTCCGCCATATCATTTCTTAAACTATGCAATTCGTTCAAAATTGAGTAAATGCTTTTCAATTATGAATACATATGGTCTTAAATTTTGACTATTATTTTTAGAGCTATTTTTTTACAAATATTTTTGCTAAAATTTTTAGCAATCCTTTTTCACAGAATAGTTTTTAAAAATTACATATATCTACGAGAGAAAGACCAAAATTTCACTCGCTAATTACTCGAAGCTTCTATATTACATCAGGACTTTCCTTACATCAAAACTTAGACTATCATAACTTATTATAATAAATACTTGCTAGTAACTTAATACTTTGAGTCATCGGATCATAATCTATTACAATTTGTTTCCTTGTAATTTAATTTATTAGGATCATAAAATTTTCCTAAGAAAGTTTGCAATAGCAGCTATTAAGGTAAAAAAATTGCTCTTTCAAAAGCTTCACGTGAATTTAGAAGCATATTTAATGCAAAAAAAAAGAAAATTTATTAGACATGTGTCCATTATTTCATTGATTTGGATATAACTCTTAGGAATACAAGTTAGTTAGTAAAATTCTTAAACTAAAATATACGCAATGAAATAAAATGTTTGTATCCAAGGTTTCAAGAGAATGTTGAAAATAATACGAGAAAGATATAAAAAAAATTTATTTGATTTTTTATGCCGATGTAGTTAATATCAAGTGCTTTGAAATTAGCATAATCTTTTAATCTCCAAATAATAACTAAGATAAGCTCTCATTAGCTTTTTTTTTAAACTTAAAGCAGTGTTTTTGGTAGTTGTTATGCAAATATACTAATCGATTTCTTGGTACATTGATTCAGAAAATCTATGAATTCCTTATTTTTCAATTCATATGTTTCTTCTTCATTGAGAAACCAATAGTGGCACAATAAAAAATATGGGCACACATATGGAAACGTAGAAAAATCCTTTAATTTCTTTAACGTATTTAAAATTCAAATCTTAATTATTTATTTAATTTGCAAGAAATGTACACTTACTATCGTTTTGGGTTTTAAAAATAAGTAATAGTTAATTTAGCAATATTAGTATAGTTCATATGATCACATCTTCCTCTTATTCTCAATTGCCTCACTTTAGATTTATATTGACTTCACGTTTGAATTTTTTTTATTTTTTTTTAGTAAAAATTACAACTGTTTTTACAATTTTCAATTTTGGCAGCGTCATATTTTGACAAATTGTATCTTTATAAAGCAAAACTTACCAGCAGCCGCAAAAACGCAGATCGCTATTATATACTTCATCTTCAATTATTGTTTTCTGATGAATTCTTAAGTAATCCTTTTAAAAGTGTATTTCTCAGTGTTGTGAATCAGAAAACCGGCGTTAAGGCTATGTTTATATATATTGGAATATATACCCACGTGGTTTGACCCCCAATGTCCAGCCTAAAGTAAGTCGCTGTCGAATCAGAAAGTTCGACCCCGATTGCTCAAACGACCTGTTTGCTTAAGAGAAATCGAATTTAGGTCAGAATCCTCGATGATTTGACGTCATTCTGAAATTTCACTTCTTTTTTTAAACACCGAAAACTTAAATGTTTGCAGTTACTCAGAATCGTGTGAAGGACGGAGTTAATAGGACTACAATTATTTTTCATGCATTTTGAAATACTTAGTCCCATATACAAAATATATTCTTATTTTGTAATTGCAAGAAAATCTTTAAGATATATATACATGTGTGGTATGTTTAAAAAATCCTACGTACAAGATAACAGCTTAAAATACAAGCATGATTTTGCTTATATTTGTTTCGTTTCCTCTATGTCTAGAAGTTTTTAATCATTTAAAAAAATTAATTGGGTTTAGTTCAATGAATTGTAATTTTTAGCGGAATGTTAATGGAAACTCGAAAAACAAGGAGTCGTATTATTCTTCATACTAAATTATCTATCAATCATTTTGAGTGAATAAAAATTTTACTTTTAGATGTAGATAACTGTCTGTAAAAATCCAGCTATTTATTTCGACTTTTCTAGCAGTAGAATCACTTAAACACATAATTAAACTTAAAAATTATATCATAACGCACAGTTTGGCTTTTGTTTGGCTAATATGCTAGAAATATTACAAGATTTTCTTGAAATTTCATTTTAAAAAATTAAGTGAATAAATTCGTGCGCAACTATCTGTTGAAACTCAGTTATTTACTTTGATTTTTCCAGCAGTAGGGCTAATTAAATATATATTTAAGCTGGAAACTTCTACAATAAGAAGCAGTTTAGAGTATTTTTAGGCTAAAATGCAAGAAATAAAGCAAGATTTTCTAAAAATTTCATTTTAAAAAACCAGAAAAAAAAATATGTTTGAAAAAATTTAAAAAATAAATTTCAAAAAATGAAAAAAGTTTAAAAATTGAAAAGACTCTCGTAAAATTTTATTATTTAAAATTGGTACTAAATAGACAATTATTTTTCGATAGAATATTACGTAATTAAATTTATTTATATCAATCAAAATATTATAATCAAATAGAAATTTTCTAAGCATAATTGAATTTCCGTATTTTTATTTTCAGCATTTGAAAAATAAAATTTAAAAATAAACTTGTGTTATTTGAAATGCATGCATTCAAAAATAAACTTATGTTATTTGAAATGTATGCATTCTTTTCAAAATAAAATGAAAAATCATAAATGCCTTATACTTAAACCAACGAAATGGATCAGAGTCGTCTCGTCCTTATTGTAAAATAACGATGGTTTAAGTTACAATGACAATAATACCATTCAACTGAATAAACAGCATAAGCGCTATACGATAGACTTCAAGAAAAGTGGCTAGACAACTTTCTTCTTTGTATTGCTAATGCTATGAAACATAAAACAGCATTTCAGAAAACTGATAGAACGAAATTTAAATTTTAAAACTTCTTTCTGGAATATCAAGCTTATTATACACAAATACCAAATCTATAAAAATCTTCAATTTTGAATTTTTTATCGCTTTTGTCACTCACTGTTTAATCATTTTAAAGTTAAACATTTGAAGACGCTGTGACAGTTTTTGTATTGCCATGTCTTTCCAGTTTCCCGCTCTGAACATTTTCCCTTCATCTTTGGCATTGAATTCCCTTCTGAAGAAATATTCTTTCCATTTAGGCTTTCAATAATCATAATAGTCACTTTTATTTTATTTTCTCCAAGCTTCGGACATGTGCCTAGGTCATTATGGACCCTTTACGATATAGCTCAAAGCTTGGCAACTGGTCCGGCTCCACACCAGCCTAGGAACGAGTGCAGTCAGCAAGAATTTATTGACAATTTAGATATGTACCAAGTCCCAATGTTTAAAAAAATACAAAATATTAAATATAGTACAAGTTAATAGCTCATAATAACAAAAATAAAGAAGGAAGTATAAAAAGAAAAACAAAATACGCAATAGTCACTGGGGACAAAGTACTTATTATCAAATAGGTGCTGATGATCTATCATTGATACCATTGCCAGAAAACGACGCTTTAATAGACCACCAAGAGAAAGATCAATATTTATTTTTCTCTCCAGTACATGAAATGAAGCTAATAAGGAAACAAAAAAATGTCATACCGTCTGAAAGAGTAGAATTTAAATTAAAAGTACAAACGCATGGTACCATTTATTCTCTTCATATACCTAATGCATCTCTTGAATATAGAAGGCTACATGGAAAACAAAGGTGTAGAAAAGGATTCATCCATTGAAACGCTCAAAAATATTTTTCCAAGCTTTTGTATTTAGAAAAACATGGTCTCCTTCTGTGGTACACAAATTAGAAGTGCGTACGACCAGGGAATTTTCAGTACATGCGTATCGTTTTCATGCCCTTCATTTCTGGAATCTTTTCACAAAGTACTAAAGTACATTTCATTGCAAGCTGGATTTAGATTTGGAACACAATGGACCCACACAGAAATCTTATAGAAATTAATTTTTTGCCAAATTGGTCAAAAATTTAATATGAAGTTCAAAACATTCTGAGCAAACGTTCTCATTGATATAAAGCACAAAATTGGTCCTTTACTTAGAGTATTTCTCGACAACTTTTGGATTGTATGGATAATATAAAAACGATATCACTCGGCAGCTTTTGGATTGTATGAATAATATAAAAACGATATCACTCGACAGCTTTTGGATTGTATGGATAATATAAAAACGATATCACTCTTAATAACTGTCCTTCTAATGATCGAATTTTCACGTACTGAGTGTCAATTCTTAAGGGTTCTGGGGAGTGGCTTTAAATGAGCCAATTATTTAGCTCTAACTAATAAGTAAATTTCGAAATCAGACACGAAACCCTATTTTCTCTGAATAAACATGGATTTTCTTTTTACTTACTTATTTGAATTTCTGACCCTTAAAATACGCAAAATTTTGAAAATATTGGATCTTAAATTGAAGGGGCTAAGAAGCTATATATATATATTTAGTGATAGTTACAAGAATCAGCCATCCAAAATGAGTAATTTAAGATAACCATATAAATAACGCATTTTACTCCGTTGCTAAGCAACCAAGTTCAGACAATAAAAAAATGAAGGAATGTTCTGTGATTATTCCGAAAGGTTTATTTATTAATATTAAATAGAAAAATATCTCGAAGTTTTTAGTCAAAAGACATATTTTGAGCTGATTCTTGAACAAGTAGCAAAGATTTTTTTTCTTCTTTTTAGCTTCTTTAAAATAGAAATGTTGAGTTAATTTAGTAATTATTTATGATTTTCTAAGTTCTTCAAATTTCAAAATATGAACTTTTTATCTAGCATTTGAGTTTCTTGCGTTCTTTTTACTTCCTTTACGTAAGAATTTCCTACTAAAATCAAATGTACATATCTTATAATGTACATATACAAAATTTTAGGGATAATAATTTTTAATGCTTTGATCAAGTCTTCTAGGAAGGAAAGTTTAAAGAAAAAAAGTATCTGAGAAAACTTTTAGAGGGTATGATAACTCTAATGAGCATTCACAAGGTTTTATAAAATTTACAATATTTATTTTTTCAAAAATGATGAAATTGGTGAACGTAAAGTGACGTTTTAAAAACATAGAAACATATGTTACATTCAAGAGTAACATGGTGCAATAATGTGTTCTTTATTGTAAGACACATTTTTAAAAAAAAAACTTCTTCATTCTGCCAAATATTTTGGTTACATGTTTTTCTTTGAATAAAGATGATTTGCAAATAGCCTCCTGATGTTTCAATTCACCATAAAATGTCACATAACATGTTCTTCAATTAGGATCAGCTGCATTTATTACCGAATACCGCTACTATGTTTTTTGTTTTTGTTTTTATTTTTCCTTACTTTACAAACTTATTTTACTACTCTCCCCATCAATACATATATCTTTAAAGATAATCTCCTTCGTTTTAAACAGAGTTCGTAAGGTCCGTAAGATACTGAAATGGTGTTAGCAAAACTTAAGAAATAAAATGTTCAATTTCATTAAATTAACTCCAAATACGTGGTTTCAAAAATTTTAATTTTAGAGTTAAAGAAAATAACTTCACAATATTGATGCTACGGAAGGACCACATGAACCCTGTTAAAATATTAAATTGCAGATGTTTACTATTCTGAACATAAAGTTTTTATCAAAATAATGATAAAGACCTAAATATGAAATAGTATAAGTGATGGTAAAAACTTCATCGAATTAAAAAATACAAATATGCAACAAAAGTAGACATTCACGCCTGGCGAGTCTTCAGAATGTAAGCCTATTTTTGAGAGCTTGAAACTTATCAAATTTTATTTCCACCTTCATATTTTTTAAAGTCAATGAAGTTTTTTATCTTTTCGCTGCTGTGTCTTTGGATCATTCATTTAGCAACACAATATATTAAACTACTGCACGCGATGTAAGTTTAACTTTTAAGTAATAAGTTTTATGGAAGATAATGGCATAGGCTCTTAGATTGAAAACATACTAATGAGTCACAACTTTTTTAAAAAAAATCAATGTACATTTTTTTACTGCTAGCTTTTAAAACAATTTTTAAATGCGTCAAAAAATTCCGTCAAAAATTTTTAAATGCGTCAAAATATTTCAAGCAAGCTAACGTTTCTGCCCTGTACGAAATTGTTTTAAAATGTATTTTTCATTTATCCATTTCAAAATTTATTCTAGATGTATTTTAGGGTACTTTAAGCGTAATTAGATAGAGTTTATTTTCATACTCCTATTTGCTTAAACATATTAAATAATTAGCTTAAAATTAATTAATCAAGCTATATGATTTAATGCATTTATACTATACTAGTAAAAGGGGTTTTAATGCATGTCTCCTTAATACCGATATCAACAAATTAATGGAATAAGCTTAGATAAATAATAATAGTTAAATTGCTTTTCACTTTAGCTTTTAGGAAATAATATGTTTTGTTCAAACAGATTT